TGAGGGAAATGTAAGGAGAGAATGCAGTGGATCGGCAAAATGGACCCTACTCGGATTTTTGTGGGTTCAGATTGTAGATCGCCTAAGTGCAATGTAGCCCAAACACTACATGCCATCGAGTACTATGTACTGTAAGACGTGCTTCTAAACTACTCGCCCACTCAGTGGAAGTGGGCGGGGTTGGTGGAGTTATGAAGCGCGTTTTTTAGGATTTAGCTCATGAACTGGCAGGGAGGGGGGGGGGGGGGGGTTTGGCTACAGTTTACTTTGGGTGGGGAGGGGGGGTCTACATCTAAACCTACCAGAATTCCAGAAGGGACCGTTTTGCCGATTCACTACCTTCATACGCTTTAGTGCTTTTCGTCTCACAGGTGCTTGAATGTTTCGTTTTTTCATGTGATGGTGCGCAAATTTGAGTGCATTTCCTGCATTTATAATAATTTGAAAGTTTCTCTGTTATATGAACGTTTGCTCATACAGCCTGAGATCATCTGTCGTTGAATAGGAAAGGGACCGGGGGAATACAATGCTGCAGCTTTTTGCCGTTGTGACTGTCAAAGGTAACTGGAAATCTTAATAACCTCAACTTTTCGTCTACATCTTCTTTTAGGCTTACTGGAGGTTGTGTAGCATAATCCTGGCAGCTGTTTTGACGAAATTTCTGACTATCACAATGAACGTAATTACAAGTTTTTTTTCAACCGCATCCTCAAACCTTCTTTTTCCAGTTATCGATTTTTTTCTTCGGTGTTGATGTCAGCGGTTTTACAAAGCCTTTGACTGAGGCATTTTTTATTTCGAATGTCTGACCAAGTTCTTGCTCCAGTCATTTCTAGTCTGATCTGAGAGACTTGCCCGTTCTGAATTCATCAATAGAGGTACCCATTTGAGACCGTGTCGCTTTCGTCACAAATCAGAGACTATGGCTTAGGCTCAAGCTTTGCCGCTCTTTCACTATTCGCATCTCTGTAATCATGATTATACGAAAGGAATAGGTTTATGCCACTTTTTTATGTTTGCTTAGTGTGACCACTCTCTATACTTTTACAGCTCCTTTCTGTGTCGATTTGGTAATTTTATTTGGTAATAGTGGAGTTTTCAGGGCTGGTACATCACAGACACATATGCTGCTGAACAGGACATTGCTTTTCCCAGATGAGGCGTTTTTCTTCATTCTTCCCATTTTTTCATCTTTCCATCGGCAAGTGTTGAGTATTCAGCGCTGCTACATCCGAAACACACATGCTGCTCGATAGCACGTTTTTTCTAAGGTGTGCCTTTTTTCATTTGATGTTTCCCCACCATTCTTACCATCTTTTTTCATCTTTTTATTTGGTAATAGTGGAGTTTTCAGGACTGGCACATTACAGACACATATGCTGCTGAACAGGACATTGCTTTTCCTAGGTGAGGCGTTTTTCTTCATTATTCCCATTTTTTCATCTTTCCATCGGCAAGTTAGTGGAGTATTCAGGGCTGGTACATCTGAAGCACAGATGCTGCTCGAGAGCACGTTGGGTTTTCCCAGGTGAGGTGCCCTTCTTTTCAGCAACCTCATTCCTTGATGAATGGCACTTGCGTACTTAGCCCTAGGCTTTATATGCTACGATTAATTTGCAGTCATTTGAGACGCCAATTTTAGAGTTGAGCGGTTTGAAGCATCTGCGAAAATATCCACTTAGCTTGGCAGCAACCCATTCTTCGGCCTGAATGCACATCTTTGTACAAAATCTATATGAGGTGAGCCAATAACAACTTTCATTTGTTTGTATGCATACCAGGGTTTAGATATCGCCGATAGCCTACACTCTACAACCGTTGCTTCGATGAACCGAATTTTGCGCAATACTACCAGAAGCATTTTTGAAGTTCAAGTTCAGTTCAGGTTCAGTTAATTCCTGCACGCCTTTCCTTTTTATATGATTCAATCTGACCTTGTTTGCAGGTATTAACTCCCATCGGGCATGTCTTCGCAGTTGTATGTCAGTTCCCAGAGGGCATCTGTTACCTGCTGCAGTCGTCTAATGCCAACGGCGTATGCCCTCAAGTTAAATCTGTCTACTCCGATGATAAGACACGGTACCTTCGTATGTATTGAAAAGATGGAAAGTATCACTTAAATGTACCTGATAAAACTCTGCATACTCTCACTTGGTTGTCTGAAATGTCTGGGTGAATTCTGTTCCACACATGGTATGATTCACATATCTCTTGTGGCAACAAAAAATATAGGGGGCTACAGCGTATCCCCTAATCACTGACAAAAGGCTGTGAACTGGCATGAAAAGCAGAGTCAGTAACGAAAACAGACTGACCGGACTGACATTCAACCTACTATGCATCAACAGGCACACTGCATCAATACAGCATTAACTGGAATACTGATTTGAATATACAGTGATTTTGACCGATATGCGAGATAGTCAGATACCCAAATGCATATGCGATACTCTACTCGAAAAGTAATGAATGAATGTCTGTAATCGATGGAGAGTAAGCTTCTTCTCTACACACTGTATGGTTCACATACACATTTTTGATATGACAACAAACAGTGGCTGAGGTTGCAGCAAACTCATCAAAAAGACATTCGAATTCAGTAGCACATGAGAGGAAATGTTAGGAAAAAACAAAAGAAAAAAATGAAAAAAAATTGACTTACTTCATAACAGTCGACCAGCATGTATGACGCAGCAACTGCAGCACAAACTGAAATAATGATAATGAATGTGTAAAACCGATTTCGTTTTGTTATCCCAAGTACTTATTTTTACTGGATATTCCACGGACATGGTGAAGTAAAATTGTTGCACATGCGCAGCTCTACTCAAACTGGATGATTACGAACTAAACGATGGTGAGTAAGCTTCTGCTCCACACACTGTATGGTTCACATACATATATTTGATGTGACAACAAGCAGCGGCTGAGGATTAGCAAACTCATTGTGAAAGTGAAACAGTACACTTATAAGGAAAAGCGTCATTGACGAAACTAAATAGGAGATACCTTACTTCCTAAACGGCATGTAAGACGAGATACACAGTAGAGATGTAGTAATAGTGAATACATTAGCAGCTGAATATCCCTTTTCACCAATACATTGGTTAAGATTGAATTCCGTGTCCAACACGCAGACGTCGCAGGCACTCGCATTTTCGAAAATGCATCTCGTCCATTTAAAGGATGGATGCTGTACGGCAGGCGCACAGCGACGCCGAGCGCTGGGGGGCGTGGCCTTCATCCACTCCTTCGTAATTGGTTTTGTCGCCTTCCGGACTACACCCGAATAGATGGCGCCTGCCGAAACGAGCGGACTGATAGGTCTCGGCACGCACTAATGACGTCGCGCGACGCACGCTTTTATTAGCTGGCTTCCGACGCGTCTCCTTTGAGCGTTTTCTAAGATATGGTTTGCTTCAGACAAGATGGTTTCGAAAAACCTACACAATTCTTCCCTAATCACGCTTCCCAGAGCCATTCCGTCAATATTACCTCGTTTTATGCTTTGAAATGCTCAGATACGGCAACTCATGCTTTGATTTCGCAACAAATTCACGTTATGTCCAATTTTCACCGCATATTTTGAAGGAATGTGTTTCGATTTCTGAAATTCCTCCAAGTTTTGCAACGGAACTTTGTAATTGAACTCTGCTTTTAATAAGAAAGGTAAAATTGCACGCTGCATCTTTAGCACCGTATGTGCTTTACGACTTTGGAGAACTTCATCATCAGTATAATAATGGCCACTTCGAATTAACCGAATACCGAGCTCGTTTCATCTTTGGCCTGGAAAGCACAGATTTCCGCATAAGAAAAATGACTCTTTCAGTACAGATTTTTGCAAAAAAAAAGAGACTCTTCGAATATTACTGATATGAAACGCTTTCTTATCTATTCCTCTTCGGCAACGAGCTGCTAAGTTTACTACATTGTGTACGCACACAACTCTCTTCAACACTTCTCCACATATGCTCACATTTCGTGCAATAACTGTCTGAATTTGCCCTGCTTATCTCTTCTTTTTCCTGGAATGCACAGATTTCCGCGTAAAAAAAGAATGACTCTTTGAATGCAGATTTTTGCAAAAAAAGAATAACCCTTTGCGTGCCACTGTGGTTGAGAGGTTTTTTTATCCATTTCTGTCAGGAAAAACTACTCCAGAGCTGCTAAGCATACTACATTGTATACGAGAAAATCTTCTAAGTCACTTTTGCGCACATTGGTCGACATGCACCATCGATGACGACTGTGACCGGACCTATAGGCCACCACGCAACCACGACAATGAGCGTTTTCAACAATATGTTCTCAACTTACACATTCTCAGTGACCTCTGTGACAAGCTACCGTTTTCAAATCTCCGATTGGACACTCCTATTGAGGCTGCTAAGTAGGGCGAGGCCAGGTAGGGCGGGAGTTTACCCATCGGTCCAACAGGGGCGTCCCTCCCCCCCCCCTTTCCCCCCACCCAAAGTTTTCGAATTTAGTGTGCTCCCGGTAGCCATTGACGATTGTTTGAGAAGACCATTTGCTCTAGGCTAAACGATTGCAGCAAACGTACGGAGACTGTGACCTAAATATAGGTTGTGTGCGCCATATTGTCAATTATCACGCCAAGATTCTCGTATACGCCCTCTCTATTGAAGCTTTGAAGCTCATCTGATCTGTTCTGGTACAAGTATAAGCTGTAACATTTTACCACATTGTTTTCCAACAAATTTGCTCATCACTTTCTGCGAATGATAATGGTGTTCTATGTTTTCGACTGCTGACTTACGGCAGCTCTCTTATAATATGATCTTGCAACAAATTTTTATCACAGCTTCCACAATTTCAGGCTTGTTTTGCTGTAATGCCGCTATTCCGTTTATTGAATCTTCCGTTTATTTAAACGTGCGATTCAACAAATCAACAAATTTTTAACTCCAGCCTGGTAGCTGTTCGCTAACGTGCAAGTCGAAAGCTGCTAGCATCTATAGCCTCATTGTTTCTTTGAAATGTCATCTGCTTATACGCCAGCGCATTCTCGGAAATACGATACAAATGGGCAGCTGCGTCTATCGACTGGGTTTTTCCAGGTAATATATTAGAGATCAGAATTCATTTGCAACATTTGTAAGTATATCCGTACATGGGTATTGCTCATCTCCTTTTTTAGCGATACTTCGAAAGCGACGGGACCAACAAAGAAATTCCCATTCTTCAAGTTACTGTACGTTTTCGCACTTTTTCGATTGCTATTTTTGTACGAACAATGCGTTTAGCTTGTAAAAAAATTGGAAGAGGGTTCCACCGGCTATCCTGAGGCATGTTTCCTACTCCGCTTAACTGATGGGTTGTTCAGTTACTCAGGCAAGCACTTTTCATCACCTTTCCGAGTTTAGCTAGAACAAATTCGTTTCTGTTATTCCTATCTATTTAGTTTTTATTTTTGAGCTTGGCCTCATATATAACGGTCATGTTCCAGCTTTATTTGTTGCGGCGAGCTTAGAATCACAATGCGTTGCTGATGGTATCGTTGGAAACTCAGAAAATGGAGGCGAAATTATTGCCGTGACTGGACTGAAAATCAATCGTGACTGTTACATTGGTAAAAGTGGCGCAAAAACTTCAGGGTGAGCTGTACCGGAATTCTGGTGTTCTGCTTCCATGAATTATTCTAGGATACCCATGCTTGTTATTACTGGCTACGAGCTACTATCAAGAGGTCACCCGATTTTTTCTGCAGGAATCAGTCACGCTGGAGATAAGGTTGTTCAACTTGACAACGATTTCGGTCTTCATCATCTACCTCTAGGATACATTCTATGGTTTCATATCCACCCAGTCCTATTCCGTTCCTTGGAGCTCAACCTCAACTGCGAACGAGAGCACATGTCAGTTGTTTCTTGATCTGTTCCCGTCTCTTCGTATAGTAAATACTATTTAAGATGCATCTCAGCAAGATATTCCTCCAACAGCAGCCCAGATATTTGATAATTCCACTGTTACGCCATTAGCGTGATGATTACACCTCATACAAGCAAGTGGCTTATCTGTGGCTTGTGCACGCACAAAGACGACCTGAAGAACACTACCTCACGAACTGGGGCTGACGCACTCAAGGTCACCTTTCTTTCGATATGCTTATAGCTTTATGAAGAGAGTTAGGTTGCAAGGCAAGCAGTCCTGCTTGCTTTTATTCTTGCCTAGGCGCTGTCTGATCATGAACTTCGGTGCTGTTGCGTCCATTGCTGTCGCATTTAGCTTTTTCCTCCCTCTTTCTTGTCTAACACTTCCTGTGGCGTATTCCAGAATTCACAACTTACAAATGAAAGCCCGTGGATTTTGCTAAAACTTTGTTCATAGGGATTATTCGACATGCTGGTCATGCAAATGAGATTCGTTTCGTGTGGTAGTGCCTTTTTGAAGAGTTACGATAGGCATACTGTATAAGGTCAAAAACCTCAGATTTTGCTTAAGTTCTGTGCAGAGGGATTATTTAACATGCTGATCACGAAAATGAGATTCGTTTCGTGTGGTAGTGCCTTTTTGAGGAGTTACGGTAGGCATACGGTATGTGGTTAAAAACCTCAAATCCTGCTGAAACTCTGTGCAGAGGGGCTATTTGACATGCTGACCACGGATATGAGATTCGTTTCGTGTGGTAGTGCCTTTTTGAGGAGTTACGGTAGGCATACGATATGTGGTTAAAAACCTCAGATCTTGCTGAAACTCTGTGCAGGGGGGCTATTTGACATGCTGACCACGGATATGAGATTCGTTTCGTGTGGTAGTGCCTTTTTGAGGAGTTACGGTAGGCATACGATATGTGGTTAAAAACCTCAGATCTTGCTCAAACTCTGTGCAGAGGGGTTATTTGACATGCTGACCACGAAAATGGGATCGTTTCGTGTGGTAGTGCTCTTTTGAAGAATTACGGCAGGAATACGGTATGGGTCGAAAACTCAAATCCTGCTGAAACTCTGTGCAGAGGGGCTATTTGACATGCTGACCACGGATATGAGATTCGTTTCGTGTGGTAGTGCCTTTTTGAAGAGTTACGATAGGCATACGATATGTGGTTAAAAACCTCAGATCTTGCTGAAACTCTGTGCAGAGGGGCTATTTGACATGCTGACCACGAAAATGAGATTCGTTTCGTGTGGTGTTGCCTTTTTGAGGAGTTACGGTAGGCATACGATATGTGGTTAAAACAGATCTTGCTGAAACTCTGTGCAGAGGGGCTATTTGGCATGCTGACCACGGATATGAGATTCATTTCGTGTGGTAGTGCCTTTTTGAGGAGTTACGATAGGCATACGGTATGTTGTTAAAAACCTCAGATCCTGCTGAAACTCTGTGCAGAGGGGCTATTTGACATGCTGACCACGAAAATGAAATTCGTTTCGTTTGGTAGTGCTTTTTGAGGAGTTACGGTAGGCATACGGTATGTTGTTAAAAACCTCAGATCCTGCTGAAAGTCTGTGCAAAGGGGCTATTTGACATGCTGACCAAGGGTATGAGATTCGTTCCGTGTGGTAGTGCCTTTTTGAGGAGTTACGGTAGGCATACGGTATGTTGTTAAAAACCTCAGATCCTGCTGAAACTCTGTGCAAAGGGGCTATTTGACATGCTGACCAAGGATATGAGATTCGTTTCGTGTGGTAGTGCCTTTTTGAGGAGTTACGATAGGCATACGGTATGTTGTTAAAAACCTTAGATCCTGCTGCGCTCTGTGCAGAGGGGCTATTTGACATGCTGACCACGAAAATGAGATTCGTTTCGTGTGGTAGTGCCTTTTTGAGGAGTTACGGTAGGCATACCGTATGTGGTTAAAACAGATCTTGCTGAAACTCTGTGCAGAGGGGCTATTTGGCATGCTGACCACGGATATGAGATTCATTTCGTGTGGTAGTGCTTTTTGAGGAGTTACGGTAGGCATATGGTATGCGGTCAAAAACCTCAGATCCTGCTGAAACTCTGTGCAGAGGGTTATCTAACTTGCTGACTATTACACTTTTCCCGCACGGAAGCGTCTCCCTGTATCAAATAGATATACGGTATGGAGTCAAAGCCGTACATTTGACTGGACTTTGGGCTAAAGTTGTCATTCTGCACTCTGATCACAAACATTGTAGTTTTCATGCATTTTAAGACCCTTTTGTAGGGTTGTGGTGGTTATGCGGTAAGGTAGGCGCCAGACTAAGCGACTATTCTGCTCAGCTGCAAAAGGCGCACAGAATTGATGTCTGCTGCTTAATGTCTAAGCCTGCTTCAGCTGCAGGTCCTGCGCAGAATTAACATCAATTCTGTGCGCCTTTTGTAGCTGAACAAAATAGTCGCTTACTCTGGCGCCTATCTAAGGGGTAAAAATTGTAGAGCTGCCTGAATTTTTGTGCAAAAATAAGGTTATCGGATGTGCTGATCACGAATATCACGCTCATCACGCATTATAAAGCCTCTCTGTCAATTTTTGGTATCTAAATTGTGCTGCAGAGCAGCAATGGTGCCTGTTCATACGCTGCACTTTATCGCACTTTACAATAAGGCGTTTGCAGTGAGCAACCATGGTAACTTTACTTACCATTCTTGAACACCCCTCTAGGTCAAGTTTTGAGCGAATTTGGGACTTTGACTTGACTTGCGTATACCCATCGTTACCCAAGAAAATGGCGACAACTTGCGAATTTGATATGATGTGCATGTTCAGCGTGCTGAATAACACCTCTTACCCAGTTACCAGCTAAATCTACGTTTTTGATCTTTTACCATGCACCTACCGTAACCATACAGAGACGTTCTCGTGCGAAACAAGTGTGATACTCGTAAACAGCATGTCGAATAACCCCTCCGCAGGTTTTAGCAAGTCTGAGGTTTTGACCCCATACCGTATGCCTACCGTCCTCTCAAAAAAGGCACTACCACACGAAACGAATACCATTGTCATGGTCAGCAGTCAAATAACCCCTGCAAAGAGTTTCAGCAAGATCTGAGGTTTTCGACCCATACCGTATGCCTGCCGTAATTCTTCAAAAAAGCACTACCACACGAAGCGATCCCATTTTCGTGGTCAGCATGTCAAATAACCCCTCTGCACAGAGTTTCAGCAAAATCTGAAGTTTTCGATCTCATACCGTATGCTTACCGTAACTTCTCAAAAAGGGCACTATCACATGAAACGAAAATCATTTTCATGATCAGCATGTCAAATAACCTCTATGAACAAAGTTTTAGAAAAATTCGAGAAATTCCACTTTTGGGTTATGTATTCTGGAATAGTATCCTTTCTGCTGTCACTTATTAACTTTCAGTTACCTGACGCATATAGCACTTTACGAGGGCTGCTTCACTTTTTTGAGACCTTGCGTCATACAGCGTGAACGATTGTTGCATGCTTACCACCACACTTCACGATTTGGGACAGTCTTGCAATGTCTTTTTGCTACTTTTCAGGTGTTCAGCTTTGAGATCACCGATAAGGATGGAGTGGCTATACGAGTTTCTGCGTTCAACGACGTTGCTGAAAGGGCGTCCGAAATCATTCAGCTTGTTACGTATGTGATTTTGACTCCCCTCGGTTTGTTTCATTGCACCTGTACCATCATCTTTTACAGACTTATTACATAACTGGTGCCAGTGTCAAACAAGCAAACAAACGTTTCAATAACACTGGACATGATTATGAGCTTATCATGAATGCGAGCACTGTGGTGAGTTGTACTCTGTTGCTATCTGATTCCTTTCACGCGTATCTTCAGATTGATCGCTGTCGTGCGGGAATTCCAATACCGCCACTTGTGCTGAAAATTTGCCTTCTTGATGATGTACCAAGTCATAAAAACGAGAACATCAATGTGCTTGCGGTCGTTGATGAAATTCACCAAGTCAATAAGGTATGTGGTAAGGTACTACTGCAGTTACCGTGCTTTCTACCTGAATTTTTTAGTTCACCTCGAGACAGGGCCAAAATTTTACTAAGCGTGACATACATTTGGTCGATCAGTCAAGTTCTGTGGTCAAATTGACATTGTGGGGAGAACAAGCTGAAATTTTTCAAGATCATGTATTTGGCGAAGTGGTGTCTATCAAGGGAGCAAGAGTGAAAGAGTGGATGGGTTTGTTTCCCCTTACTTATTTCGAAAAAAAATTTGTTGTTCTAGGAGCGTTTAGCCTGGCGGTTGGTCCATCATCGAAGATTGTCTTTAGTCCGCAGATGGATGGTGCTCTTTCTTTGAGCGAATGGTACGCTAACAAACGGCGGATGGCAGATGTTAAGTTTATCAGCACTGCTTCATTTGGGCGCAGTGATGGATTCGGTGGGTCATTTCAATGCTAATTGATTCGTTGCTGGTTTTTCCGACTTTGCCTTTGTTTCAAACTTTGCTATTTGCCTATTCTCCACTAATATTGGCAAGTAGACCATCTCAAAGTAAGGCTCAGGGTTTTGCGGTTTGTTCAAGTAATACATGGGAGCACTGAATTTCTGAATTACAAACACCTGCCTACGAATTACCTCGAGTTTCTGAATTATAAACAAGCGGCGCTCTCACTTGCAACAGTTGCTTTAGATCATGACTTATGCCTCATTGGTACGGTGAATGCGCTCCAGCTTGGAAATGAGGTTGCTCTACCCAATGGTCGCTTTATAAATCTCAAAGCTATGCTAACGACGATCAGGACGGATACAGCGCTGTATCAAGTAGGCCTTCTTAACATTTTCCCCGTTGTCCACTTCAGGCGCTTCTGCTTTGCAGAGCTGTCCCAATGATGGATGTTCAAAAAAAGTTGTGCAGTTGAGTGGTGGTCACTATAGATGTGGCAAGTGCAACGTGTCATGCAGCACCTTCAAATGGGCTTATATGATTCAGGTACGTTGCTTCTCTCCTTTTCTCTGTAATTTTATGCCTTGATCTAGGCAGAACTAACGGATTTCACCGGATCCATCTGGGTGTCAATCTTCTCTAACATCGCAGCCAAAATGCTTGGTATGGAGGCGGAACAGTTGGCGGAAATGAAGGCTGCTGATGTACTTAACTTACTAGCTTTGCATCCATCAGCTTGCTCCCGAATGCTTTTCTTGCTATTTTCAGCAGGACGCTTACGTCAGGCTACCAACAAGCCTGTGTTTCACGTATTACAATTGGAGGATCAACGCAAACTAGCACATATCGTGTGAGTTGCAATTAGTCCTTACAAATTTGAAAAACATTCACATCTACGTTGCAAGTGTTTCACGTTCAGGATGCAACTCGTATGTGTTACTCTGTTCTTCTATGCGACGCCGTACCATATGACCGCTATATTCCGTTGCTGCAGCAGTCGATGAACGCCTTGGAGCGACTCTAAACTTACGTTTACTTTACGACATCGTTTGCAACGATGCGACGCCTGTTTATGTCTTTTTGCTGACTTGGCATTTTTTGTTTCTTTTCATCGCATTGTATGTATTCACATTTCTCAGGATGTCATAAATCTCGCACATTCCTCGATACACAATTTGTAGTGAACACTGAGTGCCTGCAACAGTTGTTTGAAATCAGCATGCCCACTTACCACTCTGCGCTAACTCCCACCCCTTCAGCTCAAACTTTGCAGAAAACCATAAAATCGATACAAGCAATCGATAATACCAAAACTCAATATTGTTTTCGGAATCGTCATGCTCAATTATCCCCCTCTGTCAACTCCCAGTCCCGTAGCTCAAACTTTGCCAAAAAAATTAATAAAATCGATAGAAGTAATGGATAATTCTGAAAGTCAATATTGTATTCGGAATCGCCATGCTCGCTTACCCCCCCCTTGTGCCTACTCCCAGTCCTGTCGCTCATACTTTGCAAAAAAATCTATAAATCTGATAAAAGTAATCAAAAATTCTGAAAACTAATATTGTATACGTAATCAGCATGCTCGACCCCCTGTGCCAACTCCCAGCCCCGTAGCTCGATAAAATCGATAAAGCCAATCGATAATTCTGAAAACTATTCTTGTATTCGGAATCCCCATGCTCGATTACCCCCCCCCCCCCCTGAGCCAACTCCCAGCCCCGTTAGTGAACTCTGCAAAAAGTCGAAAGAACTCGATAAAATCGATATCGATTGCTAACGAACAACGCCTATGACACGCTCCCCGCCCCGAATATGTGTGCCAAATTTGGTCCAAATCGGCTTAGAAATTAAAAATTCTATTTCGCACATATACGTATTACATACATTTACATACATAAAACCAGAAATTCAGCTTTATATAGATAACAGGACAGTCCGGAGTGGATTTATAATACGAATTGTTCGCGAAAGATAGCCTCAACAAATGCTATACTCCGTCGTTTCATCTATGTCAGCTATGCACGACACTAATTTGTTCGGTCAGTTTCCGTTCAGCGCCAGATTTCAGCTTAGATCCTTTTCCTGCCATGATCGAAGACTTATTTATCTTTGTGAACTACAGCTCGTTCTGTCCCAAAAATTGAAAAAAAAAGTTGCAGAATGCGTTGCTGAGGTTATACTGGTGAAAATAAGGCTATGTACGCTCTAAATTCGCGTGTGCAAAGCGCCAGTTACAACCATTTCTGTGTTCTACCTACTAACGAAGTATCATCTCGACAGCTTATAGGGATTTACCCATTTGGTTTTCATGCATGCTAGCTTTGCTATGGAGATAGATAAGCTTCAAAACTCTTGGTCTGCCAGTACATTGTGCTACAATGTCATTGAATTTTACCACATTACATCTAGATTCGGCTAGCACGACAGTTTCACGTGACTGGCAATACGGCTCGTTCGCAAGGTTGACAAACAGGTCATGTACTCCGTCATTCCATCTGTGTCCACTGTGTACCAAGCAATTTGTCCGCTTCGTTTTCGTTCAGCGCTGGATTTTCTCACTTTCGATCCGTTTTCACATTGGCCCGTAGTAAAGCTCGATCAGTTGAGGTGAACTCAACTTATCCCATCAGTTCACCTTAGGTGAGGTGAACTGATCACCGTCCACGTTCCCATGCTATTAGATGGTCAAGTCAACTGATAGTTGACCATCTGTCCACCTGCCGCAGTCAACTCCTCCACATCAGTTCACGTTCAAGTCACCTCAACGTGAACGGATGTTAGAGTGATCCAAATAGTGTGTAGAAGAGGAGACGCAGACAAGAGGTGACTGCATCTAACATAAGTTGCTCCTGAGTAACTTACGATACACACAACTTTGCCAAAAAATGCAGAAAAAATCGGCGCAAAACTGCACAATACCGGCGCCCGAAAAGGGAAGGATCGATGAACAGCTGATTTTGGCGACAAAAGCAAGGATAAAAGTTTTCTTCTTTTTTTTTGCAGAGCAATCTTAGTTTCTTGTAAAAACTACTTAAGAAGAGAATCTACTTATTTATTCCGTTTTATTTATGTTCCAAAAATTTCAGTTTTTCATGAATTCTCCGTCAAAATATGTCAGTTTTGTTTTATCTGTCCATTTGCTAAGTGATATCCTTGTTAGCGGTCATCATCGATTTTTTTCGACAGTGGCCGCTATCAAAGATTGTCCGGCGATGCAGCAAAAGTTGTGGCGCTAGCCGGTGTCGAACCACGACCGCGCGCGTGTGATTCCAATCGCTTATCCGTTTGACCAGACCAGCTCAAGTGGTTGGTTTTTTGAGAACACATGTGGTTATCATGTCTAGGAAGCGATCCACATCCAAATCAATAGCTCACTGGATGCTGAACTGAAGCGCGATGACCTCAACTCCGGTCCGCGTCGAGAGAGTTGCCCGGATGGGGGGTTTACTACGGGCCATTATCAGAACCTTTTTTATATTTTTGCCGATTATGTTCTCTTCTTTGAAAATTGAAAGAGATTCTGGTGAATACTGGTGGAAATAGGTTATAAATTCTGCGCTGCTAAAATGTGTACCTGTACATTCGCGTGCGTAAAGTGCCAATTGCAATTTTTCTTTTGTGCTCTGCCTATCACCAACATCACCTCGAGAGTTTTCAAGGTCTTACTCACTTGGTTTCTATGCGTACGCGTTTTGCTACCGAGATGAATAAGCTCCAAAACTTTTGATCTTTCAGCCCACGGTGCTACTGCGTCACTGAAATCTAGCATATTAGAGCAATGGGTTCGTCATCAATCTTGAATGGCTAAACGCATAGCCTGAGGTACCAGCATATCACACCTCATATTTCTTGTGTCATCGACAAGGAGGTCACGGCTGAGGCGAATTATGCCCTACTTCCGATCACCTCCTATATAAGGAGCATAATCACAACTATGGTGCCATTCAAATGCTCTGTACGTTGGCTTAACTCTATCCCTCAACACCTATGTTATTCTGGTTCTATCTATGTTGTTCATGTCTTATAGATTGGATCACGTGCACTGGGTTTTACGGCAAACGAACCAAGCTGCGCTCGTTCTTGGCGTAAGTCAATGCCACTACATTATCTGTTTAGTAACAAATCAACTAAAATTGCAGGTTTCCTTCACATCTATCACATAGCCTAGGCAAACGCTGTACTCCGTCATTTCATCGACTATGTCAACTGTGCACCGCACTTTGTTTGAGCCGTTTCCGTTTAACGTCAGATTTCAGTTCAGATCCTTTTCCTGCCATTATCGAAGTCTTTTCTAAAGGATAAAGGATAAAGGATTCGGCGTCTTCAATACCCTCTGAGGGCATGCGCCGAACGCACACATTAACTTCATAGTCGAAGAGGCGATTGTATGCGTGCGAGCCTATTACAGTGACATGCGGGGACCAGCCGTTTCCAAGTCAGTGCTTTTATCCTCCCAGATTACTCTGGTACCAATTTACCGGCCCCGGGAGTAGAGGGCTTGGTTGGCCCGGGGGCGGGGATCGAACCTGCATCCGATCTGGTCATAGCGGCGCCTCATACCACTACGCCACTCGTCCCCCGAAGTCTTTTCTACTTTTATGAATTATAACAGTCTCGGAGCTATCCCAGTATCCGGACCCCATAATGTTTTTGTCGTGCACTTAGCTGCAACTTGGTCTAGGGGAGCTATTCGCTCGCTAATGCCGATTATCACACTCCTACAATACACCCACAGCAATCTTAGAAAATGGCGCTACCGCGCAAACTCAATCTGATATTTGGCATCAGCGGCCCTAATAACCCTTTTAGGCCAAGTTCCAGCAAATTCCGTGATTTTCACCCTCCCCTCCCACCATACACCCACCGTCTCAGAAAATGACGTTATACAAAAAACGATGTGATAATCGGCATCAGCGGGCCGATTAATCCCCCCCCCCTTCCCCCCAGGTCAAGATTCAGCGAAATCCACAACAAAAACATGGGACCCGGATACTGGAATAGCGTCGAAGTTCCTTCTGTTTAGAACTTGAAGGATTTTCCACATAATGCGTTGGTTAGCGTTATGCTGGTGGTAATGAGGCAGTCAATTTGGCGTTGCTGAAATATGTGTACGCTCCACTTTCGTACGTACAAAGTGCCAGCTGTATCCTTTTTATTTGCTCTGCCCATGACCAAAATATCACCCTTGGGAGTTTTCGAGGTATTGCCCACTTGATTTCTATGCGTACGCGTTTTGCAACTGAAATAGCTAGCCTTCAGAACCTTGATCCTTCAGCCCATGGTGCTACTGTGTCACTGAATCTAGCGTATAATCAATATGCGGATTTCTGATCAACCTGGGGCTATATGTATAGCTTGAGGTACTAGCGCCTTACACCTCGCATCTCTAAGTGTCATCAAAGACGAGGTCAAGCCTCAGGTGATTACTGTCATACTTGCTATCCAGCAGGACACATTAATTCCAGAGATATTACGTTGCAACGTCACGTAACTCAATAGACCATCAAGACAAAGAAATCCATTTCGACTTCCCATTTACAGCCACCTTGGGGAAGCATAAAGGTTCGTTGTTTTGCGCTTTTATTTGAGTTTTTACGTATGTTTGGAGCTACTGGGTAAGTTACTTTTTCGTGCTATGTGCTGCTCTTTTCGTTACGCTTACGAGAGCAACAACTCTCCTATTAATTTATCGTGCCTTATACTCATTGTCAGTATCGCCATTGGCCGCAACCTAGACGTGCGTCAAGTCAAGGTTTAAAAGTGACTACCTTGAACACATATACCTCTACTTCTTCCTCTTTACGGTGTGGATCTTTCATCGGAACATTTGTAGATGCCTTTTCCATGTATGTACCGTTCAACCGTGCCCAACTCAGTGAATAAACAGTCTTGTTTCCATTTGAAATGAGCCCTACTCGAGCGGCGTGAATTTGGCGCGAGTGCTAAGTATGTGTTTTGCAATTCTTCCCACAAATGCTCTTTTCTCATGGCTTAATCGGGGAATAAAAATTCGGCTTTTCCCATAATGTGTTAGAAATTGTGTAAAATAGAATAGTAGGTTTGCACCTTTCTTTGCCGCTGTTTGTGTTAGCTTTCTCTCGATCGTAATGCGCTCCCCATATTGCTCATTTTCATCACCATCGATCTCTTACCAGGTGAGACAAGCTTAGAAGACATACGTGTGCTGCTGTTGAGGACGAGATTTGTAAACATTGATGCTAATTCAATGCTTAGAAAACATTTACTTTTTCGGAGAATTGTTCCCGATTACCAGAATTTCGAAATAGTTGCTTTTATAGTTTTTGAATTTGCACCCAATGTTTGCATTGCGGCTTATATCATGAAAGACCGAGATACATGTTTATCTTTAAAAAGATTTTCTACTTTCTCATTCTTATGCCACATACCAACTTACTGCTGGTCAGAGAGCTTAAAGTTCAGTGAAGGCGTTCTCCTCAGGAGCTTTCTCGGCTCCACTTCAGTATTAGTGCATGCGTTCTTTTTTGGGGCTGTTAGTACCTTCATATAGTAAATCTATTCCTAAGCCTACAAGTTCTGTCTTTGGTCTTGCAAGCCTTATTCCAATTTCAGAGTTCATTATTCGTTCTCAGTCATCCACTCAAGACACTGCAACGACACTTCCAGTTCAGATGGAGTTCTTCAGCTTTTTTCGATTTTCCAGGATGATCGCGTGACGATTTTGTCCGCGGTGTTTCCATTTGTTATTGAGCTTGAGCGCTTAAAGATGTGCTGTCTTTGTATGATTCAAAGGGGTGTTGTTGGATCGAGATATTAGTGCACTACAGTATCCAGCCAATCTTTCGGTACTGGCAGTTTATTGCCTAATAATGACTGGTTCTAAAGATTTGCCACAGATGGAGTTTAGTCTTAGTACTTCTCTGCCTCTACATAATGAAGATGTATGTTGTAAACGTGTATTATCTTTATGGAGTTCAAGCCTATAATTTAGCATAAGGAGTTACTTAGTTAGATTCTGCTTCTGTCGTTCATATACAGTTCATGCATATCGTTTACCATTCTATTCCTTGTGGATAAACAATTTCGTGTTCCATTTAAGGTAAGCTTTACTCGAGCGGCGCGAATTTGGCGCTAGCCCTATGCATCTCTTCCCATAAATGCTCTTTTTCTAGGCTTACTTGGGAATTGAAGCTTGGTTTTTCCCATATTCTGTTAGAAAACATGTGGCATATAAGAGGTTTGGACGTTTCTTTGATCGCTACTTTATGTTTGCCTTTTTCGATTTAATATCCGCCATATGCGCCTTTTCGTGTAAGAAGCCAGGAAGGTGCGATTCGCGTTTTCCGCATTTCTCAGTTTCATCTTTGAGACAAGCGGAGGAGGCACACATTCTGGTGCCACTATTTGACATAAACATTAGGGTTACTCTTTGTTGCTAATAAACATCAACTGTTCCGAAGAATTGTGCCTAACTTCCAGGATTTCCAGATGCGTCTTTTAAGCTTTGGATTTGCAACCAGTGTTTGTTGCGGCTCATATCACAAGCGACGGGATAAATGTTGTGCTTTCAATAGGACTTTTTACATTTTGGTGATTCATTGCTGTCTGTCACTTATTAACTTATTGCTGGTCAGAGAGTCAGACGCTCAGTAAAAAAGTTCCTCTCAGCAGTTTTTTTGGCTTCACTTTAACATTCTTCGCATGCATCCTTTTTGCGGCCTGATTAATCCTTCTCATAATATATCTATTCCTCATTCTACAAGTTTTCGGTCTTGCAGGCTAATTATTCCAATTTCTAACTTCGTTGTTCGTTTTCAACCATCCACTCAAGAGTTACGACACTTTGCTCGTATAAACTTCTCCTGATCTTTTTAATTTGCCAGGGTAGCTGCGTCAAGATTATGGTCCTGGTGGTCCCGATTACTTATCATTAAGTTTGAGCGAGTTGAAGAAGCGAAATCTTCGTGGATTCAAAGAAGTGCTTTCGGTTCCTGCTCACTATGTATCCAAAGAGTCTTCTTGGTTCTGGCAGTTTTTTGACTAGGAACTACTGATTTCCAAGATTTGCTACTGATGCTGTTGTTCTTTAGTCGTAGTACTTATCTGCCTCGATACAAATGAACTGCATGTCCTAAATGTGCACTGTCATTTTTACCTAGGTCACGTAACGTTTAGCATTCGGAATAAATTTGGTTTCCCTTCAGCTTTTGACTTTTCTGCTTCCTGATAGATTCGAAAAACGATGATGTTTTTTTTCTAGCGAAAAAACCACAAGATACCAGTTTGGTTTCCTCTTCAACTCATCGATTTTCGCACTTCGATTCACAAGTGATATTTTTGTCCGACATGCTTAGTACACTCTATATTTCGACTAATATCTCCTGCGTGACGAAGGCGGTTGCCCAAATAAGTTGAAGGCTGTCGCGCACGCGGCGCGCGGGCAATTGTCAGCCATGGAGCGCGCGCACGCTCGCACCAATAACGTGGCCGGCTGGCTGTCGTGCTGCGCGCGCTCCGTGGATGACCGCTGATCGAGCGTGCGCGCGCTCCATGGCTGACAATTGCCCGCGCGCCGCGTGCGCGACAGCCTTCAACCTATTTGGGCAACCGCCTTCGTCACGCAGGAGATATTAGCTAACTTATCGTGAATTATGTCTTGTTGGTTATATTAAGTGCGTTTCAACATTATTAGCGTACTGCCTGACACTAAATACTATCTCGATTTATAAGATTCAACTTTTGTCCGAGTGAGAAACTTCTTGACGTTATGTTGCTTTATTCTCTGGGTCATGAGTCCAAAGCGTAACTTTTTATATAGTGTTGCTGTAATTGAACATGCATATCTTTCTTCGTTCTCCTATCCATATTGGATTTTCGACTAATGAATCATGCTGATCCTTGTAATTTCACGCGTGTTCGACAGAGATAAGGAGGATTGCTCCTTCCCTAGTGATATAGCGTATGGAATATAACCAAAAAATATGCAATAGAAGATTATCGAAGAGCACGCTCGCAGAAGAATTGCAGAGAAGTGAGGCTACGCGAGATTCGAGCTGCTTGAATTGGCTCACCATTGATCGTTATCATGTATTCACTAACGAACTTTATAGATCGCGGAACTATTGGCTAAGCTTAACTCACAATATCGACAATTACGAAGTTGATGGGTTAGCGAAACCACTGAAGCATTTGTGAGCTTTGTTCGAATCACGCCGATTCGCGAACTCATGCAATGCACACCTATTGGTTTCGCAACCTACTGGGTTTGTTAATAAATGCGGTAACATGTATGACGAGGATTGCTATAATTTCAGGAGCTTGCTACGTTTTGCTGTTAGATAAAAGTAGCTTCCAGTTGCAGATTGAGTGCTGTTTTCGTAATGCTTACGTACTATATTACGCACTTATAAGTGCAGAGGTTGTTTGAGAATGTTTGCTTAAATTACATGCCATTAACCATCACGGCAAATGTAGGCTCTCAAACGCGCTCAACCTCGTCTCTCATCGTAATCCGCGTAAACCTGCCCGAAACCGCAGACTGATTTATGGAGATAACAAGCGTGTGCAGTTGCATCTTTGAATTACTGCATTATTGCTCGCTGCAAATTGGATTTTTGAGCTACGTGCACTATTGCCTATTTGTGCAATGTCTATATTGATTTTAAACATATCGACCGTGTTTTGCATAACATTTTTCTAAGCCGATGTGGCGGGTACAGAAGAGTGTAGCTGGTTTAGGGGCTTGCGGTGGTAAAGGTTACTCCGTGCGCTGTCTTATGCCTGTCATACCGGCGCCGAACTTAAATATATGGATCCCAAAATCCATACTATTCGAGATTTGCCCACTATGCTTCTTCGATGATACAAGTTGGCGTTAAGTCAGTGACTTGAGTAATTGTAACAACAACGGAGGTAAATTGCTTGGATCCGTTTATTCTTCAGTTACAGATGAGAGACAATAAAACATTGCTACAAGTGCCATTGGCTGACAATTCCGATAAGCTGCTTCTATCTGTAGGTTGCTACGGATTAGCACATTTACGAAACTGATTTATGAGAATAGAGGCTTACTATAATTACATCTTGCCTTAGGCCCCGGGCAGACTTCACGCGATTTGATCGTCGCGACTGAATCGCGACGAGACAACTGTTACAACATCATTCCATGCAGATCAACTTGCATTCGGTTGTGATACTTTTCCAGCCCGAAATTTTTGAATGTGAAATGAAAATGAACGGAAATCTTGGCGATTAGATCGCGACGATTAAGTCGCATGAAGTCTGACCGGGGCCTTAGTTGCATATACAAGATAAAAAATGTTGCTGATTATATACGTTACGCATAGCACAGTGATTAATCCAGTCGCAAAGGTAAGTTTTCGTAAAACACTCCAAATGTACACACTATGGACGACGGATGAGAGAGTAATGCTTATCAACTGTCGTGTTCTGGAGACACCCTTCACTGACGAACATCTGCAGATTATCGCGCAGGATGTCCATATTGTCTGCTTTTACAGCCTGTACACACCCGATTTTACATTATAACTATATTATTGTAGAGATGAAATTCTCACCTTTCCTATGAAATCCTCCGACAAACCAATATCGGCATCGTAATTATGCCTCTCCCACTGGAAGAGGTCGACAATCTAAAGCTATTCATTTCTTGCAGATGGAACTTGTTCGATGTGTAAGCTTATACATACTTTTTCAAGCTGTTTGTTTTCATCTCTTGACTATTGAGCGATGTTGACGTTGAAGCATAGAGCGGATTCGTATTATATGCTGGTAGAGCCTGAATAAAATTCACCATGTACGGAAAATGCTAATAACAACATACCATTCTTCCGGAAGCGATTCCCAAATTTGCAGGAGGCCCAAAGATTTCGCATGATCCCGCCTTCATGCCACTATGCAACATCCAGGGCACATTCTGAAAACACTAACCCTTAGTAGAAGATTACTGAAAATCATCATTGGTGTCGTACCTTGCTGTAATAAAGATTCGCGGCCTTGGCTTCGAGTAGAAAAGCTTCATACTCCAGCTCATTTGAAACTTCTCTTACAGTGTACGACAAAATGCCTATATGCTTGAAGTGTTTGCTCAATCAAGATAACAATCAAGATTATACACGTACCGTGTCTGTTGTTCAAAAAACGGAGCAGACCTATTACAAGCTTTTGGTTCCTTCACGAAAAATGATCCTTCCAGCATTTGCATCGGTGTTGGACATCTGTAGACTAGGATTGAACACCAACTACTGATGCGCTTAACAACCTACGGTGTTATATGTGAATACTTCGAATTCTTTGCTCATTTCGTTAGGATCTGCTGATACATGAATCGTCATGTTTTCTTGAATCATTGTGGTTTTGACAATCCCTATAGTTAGCGCCTAAACTGTTTTGACTAAACGTCTATGTTGCCATAGTTATACTACACCAGTCAATAATGTAAAGAAATGCGTTGAACTGACCGTATTGAAAGGGTAATCGCCATACGAGATTTTCTCTTCAACACTTGCAGCAGAAACAAGCGTTGCGATAGTTACCGGTACTGGCAGCTTTTCAACAGCTATAGCTACCGGCACCTCCTTTTTAAGCGTAGCAGCGGTTGCCGATTTGTCAGCCGAGTTCTTGGCCATAGAAGCTACAACTTTATATGTACGTGTATGTGCGTGTATGTTTCTCGAATATGTTTTTATTGTTTAATAGGTGGGATTTTGCATGTTTTTCAGGCAAGAAAGATATTGATGATGAAAGAATGAGGGGTTGACGAAACAGCTCTGAGATACGACAGTCTGGTGCTCTCATCCTACAGCCATAGAAGTATGCAGCGATGCTGAAGCGCAATCTCTTCATGTTAAACAGAGATGGTGGTTAGATATAAACAAGGAAGTCATCTACTATGCGAGATTAAGCGCTAACAAGGAAGACGTATGACTTAGAGATTGTCGAAATACAGCTGCTTGAGATGGCTCCCACGATACTTGAACAGTGTTGTAACACGGTTGCGAAATATTGGGTTGTTACATAAGTCTTGTTACACTTTAATATCATACGACGATAAGTCGTGAACATCATAATTTAAATAGGGCTCCAGGGTACCGTTCGATTGAGCAAAGCAAGCTCTACAAGATAGTATGCAAAGGTTCGCACCAGTTCCGACCAACCAAGTTTGCATCCGGAATATGAGTCGCACTGAAGGCTCAAAAAACGCGAAAAATTCATATTTTTGTTAAGAAAAAATTCTAGGAATCTCCAACTTGCTCATAAAAATTGCCCACTATATCAAACACTCATATGTGCCGTTGCTGTATTTATCCCTCATCTAGAAACCGAAAAAAATAAAAAATTTTTAGTTTTACAAAAACGAAGCTATGTGTTTCTATCTATGTAGCTGTATACTACAAGCTCTTAGAAGTACAATCGTAAATTTTCAGCATTCCAGAAGCCGTAGTTTTCGAAAAATACTAAATTTAGTTTCTCTCACTCGGGTACTCAATGTTAAATTAGGTAATTTTCGAAAACTAGGGCTTCTGGAAAACTAAAAATTTACGATCATACTTCTAAGGACTTGTAGTATACAGCTACATAAATAGAAACAGCATATTAGGTTGTGTAATAAGTTCTGTCCCATTTTTTCTTTCGAATTTTTTTCAATATTTTGCACGATGTTCTGCAAATTGTTTATACGCATTTGAAAGCTCTAAGCCTTCTCTACTAAAACTTTGATCCCGGTTTTCTACATCAGAAGACTTGAAAAAGTTTTACAGCGTCAAATTTGGAAAATCAAACAGGGAAGAAGTCCATTTTCGACAACTACGTTACGTCGCCCTCCTAATTAGTCGGAATGCCTAGGAATAAGCTCGAAAAAGTTGCTGCACCGTAAGCAAAGAATGCTCTGGCTTCTGTCGCGCTCCAGAAGTGCTGAAGTTTTCAAAAATCATTTTTGTAGACTTTTGAAAAGTCTTCTTCCTAACGCTTTTCCAACGTTGGTGTTGGGCATCATCTGAAGGCATTCTAAGGGAAGACGGTAGGCGGATCATCCAGAAAAGACAGAAGGGATGGTTTACGGCTTCAAAATTATCGAATTCGTAGGTTAAATACTCAAAATTCGAATTTTGGGAGCCAGACAGCTTGGGTACGCGAGACGGTGAACATCGCCGTGACAAAGTCTTGCCTTGCCGACTTTTGAAAAAAAAATGTCTCTAAATAGCCGGTGGAAGGAAAGTAACATGCGCAAACAGTTATAGAGTAAATGTAAAAGTCTAATAAATTGTTTTGGCTGTTGTCAAGCTTGTTTGATAAGTTTTACCAATAAAAATCGAGAAAAATTTGGAGGAAAAAAGATGTCGAAAATTGATTTTTCGGCCCTTTGGATTTTTTGTTTCAATGACAAAAATCTTTTTCAGTTTCCTGCTATGTTGGGGAATGATGCATATGAGTCTGCAGAGCAGACTTAAAGCTTTCAAAAGCATGTACACTTTATCTCAAATATAGTCAATGTTGCCAAGAAAAAACTAAAACAAAAAATGGGACAGAACTTATTACACGACCTAATAGCTTCGTTTTTGTAAGAACTAAAAAAATTTCCTTTTCTCGATTTTTAGATGAGGGAAAAATACAGCAACGGCACATATGAGTGCTTGATATAGTGGGCAATTTTTATGAGCAAGTTGGAGATTCCTAGGATTTTTCTGAACAAAAATATGAATTTTTCGCAATTTTTGAGCCTTCAGTGCGACTTATATTCCGGATGCAAACTTACGGTGGGTCGGACCTGGTGCGAACTCTTGCACACTATCTTGTAGAGCTTGCTTCGCTTTATCGAATGGTATCCTGGAGCCCTGCAAAGAATATGAAGTGCTTGACTTATCGCCGTTAGAAGTTAAGTGCCACAAGACTTATGTAACAACCTAATATTAGCCCCTGTCACATCCACCCAATTTTAGACCCCAGGCTGATTCTGAGCTTCCAAGAAGTAATGTGTTGTCAAAATAAAGCGAATGAAGCAGTTCCTTTACATAAAACACCCGTGTAAATCTTTGTGTCTAGAGAGCTTCAATCTGAACGAACGTGGTTGTACCGTAAACATTCGGGGCGGTTGTAATCTATAATGTAAATTTTCACGTAAGGATAGCGAATGCGTAGGAGTTTTATCGGTCATGCCGCTGAGTCTTTACGGGATGTTCCTCAAATCAATTTTGCACACACATGTATGACAGACACATCTACGGAAGATATCGATGAATTGGCTTCCATACTTGAATCCACTTTATTTGTAGGCATAGGAAAGTGTCGCATCTCATTTGCCATCCGCTGTTTGAGTTACTGGAGGCATGCAATATTTAGCTGCTATCCGCAGTTGACATTTCGGTCGGAACTTTGGAATAGCTTTCAGTGCTACCATTAAAGTCGAAACTAGCTTTCTCGCAGTCACCTTCTCATCCATTTCAGCAGTGCGTACATTTGACATCTCCCACTTTTACATAAACACGTCACTGTTAGCACGCAGTCCGTGACTTGCCGGTAAAGGCAGTCTACACTCACAGTTTAATTACTCCTTGACAAGAGTTAAAGTTACAATCTGCTACAACTTGCAAGCTTCTATAGTGTGCCTATGTTCAGGTTACTTTCCAGTACTATGCCTCTTCGATTACATACACATACACAGTGTTACAAATTCTTTTACTTGTACGCATATAAAAGAAGACTGAAATATCATTGCCAGCAGTTCATTTTCTTTTAGTTTTACGGGTCCTTGCCTTCTTGCTTCCTTTGTCGTTAGCCTTAGAATCCTGAACCTAATTTGTATTGGTAGCTTTGGTCTATCTTTGCCATTAAAACTTTCATATAACCCACCTTTTCCTCGATAACCTTTTCCCCTTTAGCTTCCCTCTTTCCGATTTGTCTACTGCTCGATGGAGAAATCTTAGATTGCATTTTGATTCATGCGAATAAATTTCGTAATTTACCTCGTGCTCGTCAACCTTTTCGATTCCTTCGGCTATGTTTCTTTTTCTTGTTCGTCTACAGCTCGAGTTAGCAGACTGCTTCTGAAACTCTAATATTTTGCACTAAGCTGCTTTTCGTACAACCAATTACAAACTATGCTTGCCTTTTTCGAGTAAATCCTTCTTTCTTCAACGCGTTTCCAGTGCATATTTCTCATGGTGCTCTTTTTCCACATATCTTAACAGCCATGGAAAGACAACTTATCACAATTCTAATTAGCGTTTATACCGGTGTGCGCTTCTAGCCATGCATTCACGAACATTTTCTTCCCTTCGATTGTTGCCATTTTCCTCCTCTCATACATTGCATTCCACACCATTGAGGTTTGTTGCTTTATTGATATATAGGCTTACCTCTGTGTCTTCTTTAGTTAACGGTCTTTCCAATGGAAAAAATGTATCGCTATCCATAAACGATGCGAAGGAAGACATTCCCTGAAAAAAAAACCTACTTTAAAATTGAGCATAATGATGAAAGTGCTGTGATATGAACAGAATTTTGCTGAGACTTGCAAAGATAATGAGAGGATAGGAAGGACTATTGCTCAGCTTGTTTATTTTGACATGAGAGCGTATAGGTCCCAGCAATAAGAGTGAGTCATTATGCCGAACTTCGTACGTTCGATTGGATTTTGTACACCAATCTGGCTGTATACGGTGCAGATTGCTGCATGTTGATTGAATCGTAAACAATCCAAATTTAGAGGCTACATTAGTTGCATTTTTTTTAATGCTAGATGAGTGGATGTTTTGTTCTTTATAGATTTGAGGCACATTTTTCATGGACGAACTTTCAATCGTAATTCATAAGGATTGCTTCACTGCAACTGTGATGCTAGCGTCACATCATGCATAAATTGCCCCTTCGAAGACTATCGTTTTGCTTCCTCATTACCTGTTCTATTTCTTCTTCATCGCAGTTTCGCTGCCACAGATTTTGAGAGCGGTTAAGCCAGAGTGTAGTGCATTCCTTAGAGAGGAAGATCTTACCAGCGTATACTTCTGGTTTCTGAATAGCCCTGTTTCACACTTCTAGCCATCTTATTCTGCGATTTCTACTTAGCGAAACACTTCAACATACCTGATTCAGGATACTGTTCGCTGTTGAACGGTTCCTAGCACTCGGTAACACAGTTTTTTGAAACATTTTACACTGTATTCTTCCAGTACGAGACGAATTCGAGGATCAAACCTAATCTATCCCTTAGCTTGATAACACATAAGGACGGTTAGCCATGCTATTTTGTAAACCTGTATGATTTTGTATGCTATAGTTTTTCAGATTAAGTGGGCTTTATCAAGCAAAATCATAAAAAAGAAGTCACGGAGGTCATAGAAGACAAGCTCTAAAAATTCCTCAAACATAGTGCATCTCGCAAACTGACAACACATAGAATGGTAAGTCGTTTGTTGAAATTGTCTTGATTTGGATTTTACACAAACAAAATAGCTTCTGCCGGGAACTTTGAAAGCTTTCCGCTAAACACAACTGATAAAGGAAAGTCAACTTGTTGCCGAGCCCGACAAATAGCTCCTTACATGAAGTTTAGAAAGAATTCGCGGTACTCACCTCATATCGTATCCAACGTAACTTTATGGAAGGTCTTACCATATGGATAGCTTATCGT